TGACAGTGCCAAACTAACCTTGGTGAATTATGTCCTAATAGTGGGAGTTACATACACCCTCCCCAGAATTCACCCAAAGTTCACTCAAGTGTCAGGGCTGGAATGACCCGACCCACACAGCTTCATGACTCTGGAGCAGGGACTAGGGTTGGCTGCTTTTCCTGGGGAACCTTGTTGTGGCATGGGGGGAAAGCAGCAAGGTGCCCTGGCCATCATTTTAAACATAAATGCAGCCGAGAAAAAGCCCCAACTGCCTTTCTGTTGTGTTTTCATACTGCAGAGTGCCGAGTCACTTTTTCATCACTTTTTTTTTGTGCATTTTCCTCATATGAATATGGAAGCACATCATTCTTCATGTGTGTTACCTGACAAGGATCCTTTTAAGGAGCTGCTGGTCTCCTGGGGTGTAGCCTGGCCAGTCCTTCTGCAGATCCTTATACAGACTGTCCCTCAGCACGAACGTGTTGTCTCTACTGTTGAGTTGTCCAACCTTACATACACACAGGAGTGAGAAAGAAAAAACAACATAAGCCAACAGCCAAGTACAATTTTGAGAGCCTCTGTCTTTCTCTGCACGATCTTTCTTTTTGTGTACTTTTAGCCTGTATTTATCTGGGTACAACAGAAAATAATCACCTCCATCACTACAGAGTCCAGCATGTCTTTGTCCTCTGCTGAGAATCCGTCTTTCTGCAGCCTCAGGATTAACTCAGGCCTCTTGTACGGCCTCAGAGCCAGCAAGTGTGTCAGCCTCTCCCTGAGCGGCCTCTCCTGCACATCGCCCATGCTCCTCCGGTTCGACACACAGGCCCCCTTCTTCAGCTTGGACACGCCTCCGCCCCCTCTCTTGATGTTGCTGAGGAAGGACTGGGATGACGGTCTGGGCTTGGTCAGGCTGGCCAGCGCGGGCGCCGGGGCTCGCACCGTTACCTTCTTGCCTGTGCAAGGGAAGCAGGAAATCACACATCAAAAGACGCCATTCCCAAATAAAGAGAAAAATATCTTCAAAAAGAAATTTCAAAGGGACGTGAAAGGTTTCTAAAATTAAAAGGGGACCTTGTGCTGGTTTTGTAAAGATTTTTTTTAACCCCAAATGTTGCATCTCTTGAACCTTGTAAATGTGTATGATCAAAGACAGGGAGGAAGACGTGGTGGATCATCATATTTGAACTGTGGCAGAACCGTGAATAAAAGAGTAAAGACCTCATTACACCTTACAGAAAACTCTCATTGAGGTTACTAAGACGCTGCTCTCTAATTTAGGAAACAACAACACGGGTGCACAAGCCTTTAGTTCTGTTTTTTAAGCACTTCCTCTGAAATGACTAAATGATCAGAACTAGTGTGTATGTGCAGTGAGCGCTTAGTGAAACATGATGATGGTGGCGAATATATCTGTTTAGAAGGAAGTGGTTTGGTGGTGAGAAGTAAGACGACAGTGGTGACACAAAAAAAGCTCAATCACTGGTTTGATCATGTGTATGTGTATTTGAAGAGCGTGTTACAAAGAACACAGTCCAGTGTTTGTAGAGACCCGAGTAAAACCACTGTACAATATTCTGCACGGTGACAATATGCAGTATACAATATTGAATGTGCATGTGTGTGTGCATGTGCATGTGTGTGTGTGTGTGCACTGTACAGAAGGTTTACTCAGTAGAAAACAGACAAAAGGGCAAAATGCTGCAGGAGAGAACACTGAAGACTGGCTGTCACTGGTAACCACACATGTTGCTATGGTGACCAATGCAATATGGCTGACTGCATTTTTTCCTCTTTGGGATTTAACCAGCATAGTCAGTGTTACTGCTTAACTGTTGTATAACCAAGCAGGCAGGAGTGTTTTCTGTGTTTCCTACCCTGGTAGCGCCCCCCGTGTTTGATGACGATGGTCCCTCGGCTGCGTGTCTCCTCCTCAGCCTGGGCCATGCTCTGACGAGCCTTATCGTACGAGTCATCTGTGGCGTTGACTGTCATCTTTTTCTGAATCACCCCCAGACAAGACAGTTCTTTGGCAGCACTGGGAGGACGAGGAGGAGGAGGACAGTGAGGACAGACAGAGCTTTCAGGACTCCTTCTACATGTTATACATTTCAAATTAAACACATTTCAGTGGATACCTGCTTCTCAGGTGAAATACACAACACACACTAATCTGTAGTTCACCATTTTTAACATGTCAGATACCAACACTGTTTTTATATTTTTGTCAAAACCCAACAGTTAATTTGATGCACATTGTGAGACTTGTAACAAATTCACATCTCTACATTTCCGGCTTGCGAGGCCTTTTCACAGTGAGTCAGGAGCCCCGTGCTTCGTCTGGCATTTAAAAGATACGTTACCAGCGGGGTGACTCTCGCACAGAAGCAGGGGTGGAGAGACATTTTAAAATATTGAAACTCATTCACATTCTCAGTTAATTCTATTCATGGACAACATGTAAGTAAACATGCAATCACGTAATGGCTTCAGACAAAACACGCTCACAGCCCTCATGAGTGGGTTTTCAATTCCTTGATTAGATTCAAACATGCAATCTACTCTACATTTATCACATGATTGCTTTGTTTGTTGCCTCCAAACTGAATTTTGCAACTTTTCTTTCTGCAAACTCTGCAATGTACCAATGATCTACATGTTGTATTTTCCCCTAAATTGTAACTCGCACATCTTAACAACAACAAAAGTTGGTGCAGGTGATCTATTCTTCTGTGTTTTACCCTGTGCTGAGCTGTTGGACGCAGTCAAAGCTTCCATTAGGATTGTCACGGGCGACGTTCGTCACGCCAAAAGTGAATATCCTGACGTCATCTCTATTCTCCGAGCATGGGATAGAGATTCTCTGCAAAGATAAATGAAAACAGAGATACAAAGGATGAGATTTAACATCTTTCAAATGCATGAAATCAAATGAAGATGTGCCTTTGAGACATTAAGAGACTTTTATTCTACAAAATAAACGATGTGTATTGATGTTTATTTTCTTAATTTAAGTTCTATAAATCAAGCCTCAGATTTATATTGTTATAAGTGTTTGATAACAATACATTACACTAGTATCTCAATATTTCTTCTTACCCCTTGATTTCCATTAAAACAGATAGTGGGATGTGAAGACCAGCCCTGAAAAAAAAAGAAAAAATGCTTGAATTTAAGTGCGTCTCAGTCACAAGCACAAGTCTCTTTTTTTGTCAAATGAAGTGAATTCCACTTCATACTATTCTTGCATCTCCTGACAAACAACAACATTAGCACCCCCTGCCCCACTTACATCCCCAGTGTGACCAGTCACAAAATAATGATTCACCATCTTATCACGACCAAATGCAGCGTCACCTCACGCTGGGGCGAGTTCGCCTGGAGGAAACCACAGAGGCCAAAGTGACACGTTTGTGGCACGGACCGAAAGTATTCGATGACTAGAATCTAATTGACCTTTTCATGGGGGGAGGATTTGTGAGTCCACCTGTTGATGGGTGCACACAGAATGATGTGGCTGCCAGCACAGAGCATGGAGGTGTGTGTGTGTGTGTGTGTTGTCTGTACGATCAGGCCAAGTGGGTTATGAATAGCCACACTTAAAGGCTAAATAAAGAAACTAGGTATGTGCACAGCAAGTATTGTGCATGTGTCAGTTTTCAGTTTTGCGTTAGGTGTTTTCCACCCCTCCTTCCTGTGCATCTCTTTGTGTTATAAACGAAAGAAGGGATATGACAGCAGCAGGGTGATTTATCAGAAAAGATTTGGTGATGCACTTCTCCTCTGAGGAGTTTCCTCTGCCTGTTACAAGGAATTACTGAACAGAGGAAGTGCACATGGGTTGTTCTCTGGTCAGAACTTCCTGCAGCGTCTGCGTCATTTATGATTAACTGGATCAAAACGTTTGATTACAACTCTGTCCATCTGTCAGCGTCGATAAAAGCTGGCTGCAGCTCAGGATACGTTTGGCAAACAGTGATAAGTGCTCCATCTCTCAAATGCGATCCAAAAAAATTCCCTTCTTTTCCTTTCCTCGCACTTTATGAATATGTGTGTGAATGGGTGAAAGGTAAAATTGTAGCGTAAAGACATTTGAACGTTAGAGAAGTGCTATATAAATACAGACCGGGGTAATTCACTGACATTTTTCAAACCCTTACCAACTTCACACACTCCGTGACATAATTTTGCAATGGCGGCGCGGCTTTCTAGTTCATCGTCCCCTTCCCCGCTGACCGCCGCCTCTTTACACGTCAACAATAAAAAACTAATCTGGTGTCATTAGGAAAACGCTCCAGAGCTTATGAGACACATATTTTCAACACAAGACGGAACGTGACGTGCACAGGCAGGACATCAGGGTTAGTGTGACCATTTCCCATCAACCATCACAGAATCAGGGATTGTGCACCCCCCAACCCCCCACCCCCCCTTTCTATGTGATTTATGGCCCCTGGTTGATAAAAGCCCTGGATGCGCCCCTGCCTCCCACAGTCACTCACACTTCCAGCTCGTAATGTCGCGGCCTTTTTTAGCAGCATCGTCTCACAAGAGAGTTTCCGCATTATTCTTACGCAACACGGTGCGTCTCCATGTCGGGGGCAGAACCAGGTTTATAACAACAGCCACCAACCACAACAACAACTACTTGGGCACCAACCCGCCTCTGCCCTCGCCCTCTCCGGCCACCTCGCTCTTGAAGTGAGCCTCCTCTCGCGGAAGTGGCGGATTTGAACATTTACCCCGCGCGCTGGCTCGTTATTCGGGGTTTGGAACATGGACCTACCTTTCCGGTCTGGAAGAAGTCGATGGCTCTGGCCGCGCTGTCAGTGAGTTTGACGTGAAAAACGGAGACGTTGCCTCCGCGGCTCAGTTCCCCGCTGGACAGACCGTAGCTCTGGTTCTCGCTCAGCAGCGACATGCTGCCTCCTCCACCGGGTTGTCAGACTCTCTCGCCCCGGACCGAACACAGTGACATTACCGCCCGAGCGCCGGCGCCAGGATCCCGGAGAGAAAGACGAGCTCAGCGCCGCCGCCGCCGCCGCGCGCTATTCTGGAGTAGATCGCATTACGTCATGACGGCAGAGCCCAGGAGGGATCTGATTGGCCCGCGGACATAAATAAACCGTGACGTAGTGCTTACTCGTCCAGACTCCTCCTCTCACACGCAGGGATTTTCTCTGGTCGAACTGATCAGTGATCAGCTGCTTCAGGTTTTAATGATTTATACATTGATGAGAACAACTAGAATCATTTCATCATAACAGGATTCTTCTTTAGTTTAAAGATTAGACAACAATACAAGAGTGATGCAAGGGCGTGTCCCTCTCAGTTCTGTCAATTAAATAACAACTACAACGATAATAATAATTATAATGATGATGATGATGATGATAAACTGGATTTGTACCTTTCAAAGAAGAGATCCAGCTCGAGGTGCTTTACATACAATACAAGCATGTTAATACAAATAAAAACAAGGTTTATAAATATAAAATCATGTTAGAATGTAATTCATATAAGAGATTTTAAGTAACATAAGAACACGTTGATAACAAATAAAAACATGGTTAGATTAATTTAAAAGAAGTGCAAGATCTAGTTAAGGGCTAACGTAAAGAGAATTGTTTTAAGTTTTCTTTTAAAGTTTACTGAACTAGCTTCTCTGATATCTAGCGGCAAACATTTGAGAATACATTTTCAAATTGTACATAATGTTTGCCCATATCACACAACAGACATTGACGTTAAATGTACCAACAACTATGTGGGCTATGCTTGTTCTGTCACAATTGTACTTTTACTTCTCTTAAATTTCACATTTATAAAGCAAGGTTTTCTAAATCCTCCCGACACTTGAATCTCATTATATGATTTAATTTAATTTATATATGATGGAATCAACATAAATAAACCATGATGCAGATGTTACGTAACCACTGCTACTTTTTCTGACCCCTCTCCTCTCAATCTGCTAATTTCCCTGGTTTCACACACAGGGAGTTTCTTTGTGTTTGTTTGTTTCAGGCAAAACTATCATAAAAAAATTCACCCAAGTTCTTTGGAATTTACAAGATAAACTGGAGAAGAGCATGATTGTGCCCCTCCCCCTTCTGTTTCTGATGAAATTAGAGAAAATCATGTTTTTGATTTTGCATAATAGTGACCGCTGTAACACAATTATTACCAAATTCATTGACAGTGACGTTAAATGTATCTCTTGTGGAGATTGGTCATGCACTTGTTTTGACACTGTCTCTACTCTTCTGTCTCTGGGCAACACAAGACAACAATTCTGAAAAAACTATGCCCAAAGACAATATCACTAAATTCAAATGTAACAACAAGCCTTACAATTGGTAGAATTCATATTCATGCAGTAAAGTTTTCAAACCTCTCCTCAGACTTTAATCTCATTAAATTATTGAACTTAATTTCTACATGGAGACATTAACCCTTACCCAAACCATAAAGTAAGCACACACTGTTTTACTTTGAAGAATGTGTTTGAATCTCTTTTTCTCTGCATGAATTCATTCAAGTCAAATTTATTTATTTCACTTAACAGCCACCCCACAGAGAACAAAGCCAGAGACGAATACTAAATGAAAAAAGAGAACAAATGCATTGCAGAGTTTTTCAATGAAAGCTGTGTGTGATGTGTGTGTCTGCATTAGAGTGTGTGTGTGTGTGTTTGAGCGCAGACGTTGGCCACCAGGCAGATGAGGCCTGTTTCAAAGCCGACACATATCAAAGGGCCGGTGGGTCTTTGTAGTGCAGTTGACATTTTGGACTGGAAACCGTTTTGAACACTCTCTGCGGGACGAGCCTCCGCTCTCCGCCCAGCAGGTACAGAGAGGACAGATCAGGACAGATCAGGACAGACGAGTCACAGACTGAGGCAGCGGATGAAAGTTAGTGTCCTCGCAGGTCAGCAGCATGAGGACGAGAACTTTTCAATGGGTCGAGGAAATGCTGGAATACAAATAATTTCTTTCTGCAACAATTTAAATAAATTGAGGTAAGTTTAAGATTTGCTTTGGGTGTCTGTCCATATGTCACTCTGTAGATTGCTTGTGTCATGTCCACGTTGATTTTTAAAGCAGATGTGATTCATTGAATCTACATTGGCTCAATATGATTGATGCCTGTTTCCAGCTTAGTCTTAGACTTTTATCATGAAGAACAATTTGTGACAGTTTGAATAAGTCATCTGACAGAAAGTACTATTTAATTTTACTTACATTTAATTTACTACTTAGTTTCATACTTTCATTTGATATATTCTTGTCAGGAGATTTTATTTTTGTGTGTGGAAAAAGCCAATTTAGTGAAGAAATAACATAAAAAAATGAAATAGGTCATTGAGAAATATAATTATAAACACTAAAAAAAGAGTAATATTGGGATAACATTAGTATCACTGCGCTATAAAGACCAGATTTTAAGAGAAATAGTTGGTAAAATATGTAGTAAAGTGAAATTGGAGTATTCAAACATAAGTGTTTCTCTCCAGGCGATGGGGGACCCCCTGTTTGATTGCAGCCCCCTCATCAGTGCAGCAGCCTCGGGTAAGCTCCGGCTGGTCCGCCTGCTGGTGGACGGTGGGGCTCAGGTCAACGGGCGCAACCCCCAAGGAGAGACAGCGCTGCTGGCCACGTGTAAGGCCCTGAGAGGAGAGCCGGCTGGGCCTGATACAGTGAAGGTCCTCACATACCTGCTCCACAACAAGGTTAGCCTGCACCAACCAATCGTTCCAATTTCAACCCAGAGAGCAAACACTTAAGTCCAATTTTCTGCACACAAGTCTGAAAGTAAGCTCGACAATATATTGATTTGGGTGCATTTTTAATGCATAATAAATCTGTACCTGCAGTAAGAGCAGTGTATTTTTAATGCATAGTAAACAGGTTCCTAATGTATCTGCATGTGTCCTCCGTCCACCGACCAAACTGTTCCTTACCATTTGTGGATCTGTGGAGCAGTACACAGTACACAGTACACAGAACACAGTACACAGTACACAGTACACAGTGTACTCTGAGGTAAGATAATTCACGAGTATACAGAGGACTGTGTCTCATTCAGTGTTCCTCCCTCGAGAGGCAGAATCACAATCATGAGCATTTTACAATCATTCTAATGTCGGTTACGTTTTGATTTCTGAACATGCAAGAGCCAACAAGTCCTCTGACTGACACTGGACCTTAATAAGAACCATTCAATGTTTTCTTTTCCTCCTTCAGGCAAATCCTAACGTACAGGACCGCGCCGGCCGCACTGCTCTGATGTACACCTGCATGCAGCGAGCGGGAGCTCAGGTGGCCTCCACCCTGCTGTCTGCAGGAGCCGACCCCAGCATGGAGGACTACTCCGGAGCCTCAGCTCTGGTGTACGCCATCAACGCTCAGCACCAACCCACACTGGAGGTCAGTCAGAGGCAGAAAGAGAGATCAGGGGAAATGAAAGATCAAAACTAGTGAGGGGCAAAGGGGAGGGAGGGTAGATGGGAAGAGAGAAGTTGAGTTTTAATAATTTATAATGAAGTATAAAGATGGTGGAAGAAATACAAATGTAACCATGCAAAATTACTCCTGACAAGTAAAAACATATTATAATAAAAACCTCAGACTGGTCATGTTCCGCAGCTGCTGATGGATGCCTGTCGGGTCAGGGGTCGTGACATCATCATCATCGCCACAGAGGTTGGTGTGAGTGGAGGGCCAGTGACCAGACGTTACCTGAACGTTCCCCCGTCCCCTAACACCTCGCCGGTGTCCTGCATGTCCCCGTCTGACATCGTCCTCAAGACGAGCTCGCCCAGCTCACCTGAGGGAGAAAACATCTTCAACTTCAGTGAGTCAAAGTGTTCAGTTAATAACAGACCAGGAGAAATGCAGTTTGTTAAAAGATATTCACACACATTCCAAACATCCATAGACTGTAAAGATGGACGATATGACAGCTCCCCAAACGAGAAGCCAAATCCTCTTGATCGTCCCCTGGTGGCTGACTGCAGTATAAACCCTGCCTCCTCCATGTCAGTGGATGGAACATGAACAAAACTAAAAAGTCAAACTACACGTCAAATAAATTCTTCTCAAAAATAATTCATTCAGTCATTTTCACATCAATGTTTGATCAAATTTTTCAGTTTAATCTTTCATTTGTTATTTGATGCTACAAAATGGGGTGAAACGTCATGATTGACAGCTGAGACTTCCTCTCGATATGACTGTGTGTACCATCGCTCCATCCATCGATCATTGCCCCCCCACACTCTGGCTCCAGATAACGTCATCGGCACAAGAGGGCAGCATTCGTATCCCGGTAGCCCTGATCCATCCATCTTTATCTTTTTTGGAAATTTGGGAAACTTTTCCAGTCTGTATAAATAAAATGATGTATTATGAAATCTGTGATTTACACACTGTGTCTCACTCATCAGCTAAAAGAGGAAGCAGCAGCAGACGTCCCTCCTGCGAGATGAGTCCACTGAGCCGGTGTAACACTCCGACTCCCAGACACAGGGTGTTATCTGAACCGTGGCTGGCCATTCACAACCTGGCCTGTCTGAACAGAGCTTATGAGGAGGGCACGAGGGAGAGGAGTCGGCTGGAGGAGGGAGGCAGAGAGGATTTAAGACGAGAGGGAGGAGGGAGCGAAGATGAGAGAAGAGAGGATGAGGAGTCACATTTCCATCAGTTCAGGGTGGAAGAAAGGAGTGAGGGCCTGGTTCACAGAGGGGATAACAGACATGGAGGAGAGAATTACAACACAGGCTGTGAGGATTTCCCTCCGAGGGTCTCTCAGTCCGGGCCCCCCCTCACAGAGGCGAGTTTCTCTCAGGCAGCCGTGAGCCGACTGATCTCCAAGAGGAGTCTGACTCCTAGAGGGCCAGCGTTGGAGAGGAGCTCTGTCAATAAGCTTCCTGTCTGCCCAGCCCCTCACTCCCACCTCCGCAGGAACACCCTCCCCTCTGTCATGGTGATCCCGCCTCCGCTTCACCTCCCGCCCTTAGTCCACCAATCAGACTCTCACCTGCAGGTACCAAGACAGGTTTCCCTCCCTAAAAGCAGGAGCATGGTGTTTCTGCCTCACCCGCCCAGCTCCTCTACACCCTCCTCTCCATCAGCAGCATCCGGGAGAACGACACTACTCCCTCCGCTCCCCCTCTCCCTCTCCCTCACCTCACTGGTGTCTCCTGCGGCCTCCTGCTGTGGTGAGAGGAGCAGGAGGTCACTGCGTCGTCACTCAGTGCAGCTCGACCAGATCAGAGGAGACAGGATGAACCACATGGGTCATCAAGACTGAGACTTGTTCCTGCTGGAGACATCTTCATCCCTCTGTGATGAGATTCTTCCACATTCATCTTCCCATTCATCAGTCGCCACAGCTCAAGGATAAATCACTTTCATTTTTCAAGTTAGAGTTCGTAATGAAGATCATTTTCAGGAATATGTCAACAACACAGTACACTGTAAATAACTTAGTGTGAGTATTTGCCAGTTTAGTTTTTTGTATCATAGTAAAAGAATATTTTAAGTTTTTTTTCCTCATTCTTGTAAATGATGTCCATCTGTAGGATTTGGGATATAAATGCCTTTTTCAGGCCGTGCACAAAAGCTTGTTATGGGGTTTACTTGCTTTAATATATTTAACAATTATAGAATTAGTACAATAAAATACTAATGAAGTTTTAATACAGCAGATATTTTCATATTGAGCTTTTTTCTCATGTGACTGATGACACATTTTAACAGCATAAAATCTGAGAAATTGAGGGTAAAAAAAAAATATTTTGTCTAAAATATGATTACTCGTCAGTCCTCTTCTCAGGTCTATGAATTGAGAACCATTCAAAAGGGATTTATTTTTTAGATTTATTAATTTCATAATTTTTAGGTATCTGAAATGGAACAAACCCAGATTTCATAAATACTTCCCTCCCTTGTCATCTTTTGATCCATAAATCATGTTTTTCCATTCATAACGTGGGTTCATTTCAATTTTTCTGCACTTTCCGCACCAAGATGAACAGCAAAACAAAAAAAACTGAGGAAAGATTTAGTGGAAATCAATCTATAAATGCAGATTTAAAGAAGCTTCTGTTCATGGCAAAAGGAGTGAAGTCATTTTATTTGTTTTAATATGTATCTACAACAAGGGGGACACAGGCAAAAACGACTGACAACTTGATGAAAATTAAACAAAACCAAAAAAAAAAAAAATACATTTATTATCAATGCAGTTTTCCCACCTTTTTTCCAATAAGCAACATTTTTTTAATCTAAAGAAACTTTACAATATAAAGAAACATACGAAGAAGGAACCTCTTATTTTACTACACGAGACATTTAGGATCTGAAACTACCCTAACATGAGATACAAAGCAACTCCCCAAGGACAGACTGCCTCATATTCAATACTGCTTTGTCATCAAGAGGGAAAAAAAAAGAAAAAAAAAAAAAGAGAGGAACTGAACGGAAAAATCTTTTACTCCCGCACCCCAAAAACATCCTCTGGTAACCCTCCCTCCCCCTGAATGTTACAGTATTATACATCAGCACAATAGAAATACAGAAATGATCAACGTTGTGACAGCTTTACTTACAGGACAGAAAGATAGAGAGAAGTTTGACTGCATTTTATACAACAGTATTTCAAAGTACAGGGAGGAAACGTCTGTTCCCGCTCCCTCTCTACCTCTTCTTCGCAACAAATCTGTCCATTATTTTTTTTCTTTCTCCTCTTTACTTTCCTGAACATTTCTCCCGCCCCATTTTTAAATAGATTAAAAAAAATCCTTCATAGTAAAGTCTGTACTCTGGTCCCTGGTGTGTTGGATTGAGAGCCAGTGTCCTGTGTGTGTGTGTGTGTGTCCTGTGTTTGTGTGTGTGTGTGTGTGTGTGTGTGTGTGTGTGTGTGTGTGCGCGCCCTGCGTTCGGTTGTGTTGAAAGGGTAAAAGCTGAGATGCAGTGCGTCGGAGGCAAAGAAGGGACAAGTTTCATTTCCTAAAGATTCACCTGTTTTACTCTGTTCTGTCAAATGTGTGGTTTTTCTTTGCAGCCACAAACAAAACCAGTTTCCAAAAAAACAGAGGCAGGGGAGTTAAAAGAAGTGTGTGTGTGTGTGTGTGTGTGTGTGTGTGTGTGTGTGTGTGACAGCGAGTTAGCGAAAAGTTCAAACACGCTTGACTACAAAAATCTTCCTCCCTCGTCCTCTTACACCCCCATGACGCTACAGCTCGGATGCACAGTAAAGCCCCAGGTTTCTGTCTGTGATGAGGTGAAATAGCATAATAGTCTATAGCAGCTCCAGTTTCTCATCATTCATATTATTTCTGAGTAAAAGACACAACCATCTCTGAACAAATACACACAAGTTGCCCCGAATCAGCGAGTTTTCTGATCCACTGTTAAGTTGTGATCTGAAATATCAAAACATGTCAATGATATCAAAATGCATTTTACAGTATTTACAAAAAGAAACTCAACTCGAAAAGATGAAGAGTTGTACAAATGAAATTAGAGAGGGGTGAAGTGTGGCTGGGTGTGTTGACGCTGGCCCGCTGGAAAGGTGAGAGAAGAGGAAAAAGGACAGGGGGGCCGAGATGAGCGAAGGGAGGGAGGCCACTCGTTACAGCCTGCTTTACTCTGACAGTAAAAATCAAAACACCCAAGGATCCGACCAGCAACGAGTCAGAAGTCCTTTTACCAGGAGCGACCGCAAAGAGGAAGCACCGCATGAATGAGAACAAAACGTCTGCAAGCTACACGACTGGTGTGATTGTGTGTGTGAAAGCAAATTTCCCCAAAAAGCACAGACATACATCACAGTGTGTTCAGGACTCATCGGCAAATGAAAAACAATCCGAGTGTTCACTACAAGTCAGCAGAGAGACGATAAAATGCAGCGTACGTTCACACCGGAGTGAGCGGTGACCGAAGTGGGCAGCGTTAGTGGAAGCAGCATGAGTGGGGGGGTTAAAAAAAAAAAAAAACGAAACACAAAAGGTCGACACTTGTGATTCAGCACCTTTAGGGCTTGGAGAGACGGGTCTGATGACGTGAGCTGGAGATAAAGAGAGGATCTGCATATTTACACGGTTGCTACTAGTTCTGCAGTTAATAAAAGACCAGGGATAACACTTCAAAAGAAAAAGTAACAATGATTTTATACGACAAATTAAGTACATAAATAAATAGAGCTGTGCATTTCACTGCATGGAAGCTACTAAAAAAAGAGGAGCCACTTCTTCTGGTGTGAGTTACTGAGCAAGTTCACAATTTAGCGATTTTAAAGAAACCTGTGAAAAACATTTTAAAAAACAGGCCTGATCAGTACCATGATGGATCAAATCTTACCTGCAGGGGGCAGTGTTACACAGCGGATAGGTTCAGATTTTGTGTGCACATGAACTGACTTCATCAAAAATCATGTGCCCTTAGAAACGACAGGAATTAGAACCTAATCTTAAAATGATCATACCAATATCATTAATAACAATAATACAATAATAAAAACAACAATGATACAATACATACACAAAAAAAAAACAAAATGGAGAAAAAAATTAAAGAGTTCACCGATCATCACGACACCTCTGTTAAAAATGTACACACGGTGAACGATGTGTGGGGCAAAGGGGTTGTTTAGTCCGACCCTCCACTGAATCTGTCGGGAACAGAAACAACGAAAAAAAAAAGACGACAAAAATCTTTAAAAAGTCCAAAGTCGTAGTTGAGAAGCTTCCAGGTGGCTGCAAAGAGACTTTGTCCCCGGGGGGAGGGCTGTTCTGTCCAGTCTCCTCTCTCCCTCTTTTCTCTCGCTCTCTGCACTCGTCCTCCATCCCTCGCTCATTGTCTAGACCCTGACAGGAAGCCAGGGAGGCCAGGGCCGGAGTCAGAATGCAGGCTCTTCCTGTGGCTCTGTGACTGCTTCCTGTTCAGACCGCCGGCCATCTTGCATGCTCCGGGAGGGCCCGTCTTAATTAGAGTCCCAGCATGCTCGAGGGCTGTCCCGGAAGGCTGTGTGGCCATAGAGTTCCCGAGTGAGAGGGTTGGGGGGGGGCGGGGGGAAAGGAAGGGGAGAATAGCGGATCCCGTGTTGGCGGAGAGGAGGAAGGGGCAAAGGGTGTGTGTGTGTGTGTATATGTGTGTGTGTATGTGTGTGTGTGTGAGAGACGGTGGTCCAATCCGATGTGATGTAAGGATTGAATTGAAGAAAAAAAATAGGGGGTGGGGAGGATTAAACAAAAATACAAAAAAAATAAAAATAAAATCACACACTCATCGTCATGTTGGGTGAATACTGAAACGAGAGAGAGGGGGAAGGGGGAGGAGGGCACAGATGAGTGGATATGTCACTGACAACATTCAAACACCAGAGGGCGCTCAAACCCAGCCCTGCACAGCTGGAGGAGGCACAGACTTAGGTTCTAACCTTCTCTGATAGAGACTCCAATGATCAACGATGCAATAATTCAATCTCTGAGGAGCTGGGTATCTGACCTCTGGACTATTTGACACAAATTTAAATGTGTCCAAATGTCAATTAAAGCACCACAGGTTGAAACTGTACATTTAGATTGTTGTTCACTTCTTTTTGAACAGTATATTTACTGATTTAAATTATAATTTGACATATTTTGTTCCGAAATGGAAATGGAAGAAATGCAGCTTAGTTATTGTGATCAACACTCACTGGCATTTGGTCTAATTCACATTAACATTAAAACTAGAGCCGACCGACAATATGAACCTTTCACAGAAATATGAAAGACGTCACTATGACGAGTATTATTTTACAGAATAAAAAACACAGAAAAGATGTGTATTTATGTCTGTATTTTAATTTGTCTTTAAATCTGGTTGTATTTGTATTTTCTTCTCATTAATAGTTAAAGGTTTATGGTCAACTGTGAAATCTCATGTCTCAATTAGATTTCTTTGTCATTAGAGTTTGATAACGACCATCAAATCAGTATCAGGCCCTAAAACACCACCTCGGTCAGACTCTATTTGAAACGATACCCAGTCCTACTGCTCATTAGCTGAATGAGGGTATTAGGGCTCAGACATAATTCCAGCCTGAGCACCCTGTGGCTCTGCAGGCCGAGGGTTAGAGACAGTCACAATTCTATCCAGGGAACAGTACCACCCTCCACCTGCTGTGCTCCAGACAAATAGAATCCTTATTCACTCTAAGATATAATCAGCAAATTATATAGAACCGGTATCTTCACTGAGGAGTACATCAACCATAATCACATCACTGATACAGAGGGTACAGAAGGATTTCTAAGTGATAAGTAAGCGGCTGTAATGCAAGCAGAACATCAGGTGTTTTTTACAGCCCTGTTTTTAACGACTGTTTAAGTTTTGCATTTTTAATTCACAGTGCTGTGTCCCAGGCAGTAAGAAGACTGTGCCAGGAACAAGCAGTACTTAAAACTACAGGCGACGTGACCCACAGATATTTGGTTCTTCCTGCTGCACCATGAGTCTCTGGTTCTGAGTGGATCTGACTGCACATGAAATCAGCTCTAATCATGCGATGGGTCGTAATCATCACAGTAATAAAATGTTTTGATGCAAGATGGCGAGTGTGAACTGTGCAGGACAAATATCACGCGTTGCTGTTCTTTGTTTCACTGCGGTTACCTGTTGACTGCTGCTTCATGCTGCTACGCTCTCTATTTAAACTTATGGGGACCACATCTTCATTTGGCATTTTCTTATTCTACTTTGTCAGGTTTTTCTTTTTTTTTTAAATTGGCCTTGTTGGGTTTGGAATGTTTTTCCAGTGAAGAATTAACTTTGGTAAAAACCTTAACTGCCGACTTCTTATTTCAATATTAATCATGACCACTACCACTGAGACTAATCAGCGTAAAACAAAAAACAGTGACAAGAAAAAAAACTTTACCAGACAAATATCATTACTGACAAACTCAGGTGAACCCTCTGCTTGCATTCTTCCACTGGTTTATGTCAGGGCGTCAAGGATAACTGTTAAGGGTCGTGAGATGCCATTCACTCGCTCTACTTACACTTTCGCTTTGGAATGGGTTCAAGAAGTTCCCGCCCATTTCGCCGTCATCTCTCGGCGTTCCAGGAGGGTTGTTCATGCCCCCCATGTTATTAGGAGAGCTCTGCAGAGAGAGACGATAGAAACAATTCTTACATGTGCACAAGTGAGGTGTTGAAAAGACATGATACATTATTATTCAAGCAAATAGGAGAAGTTAAGAGATTTTGACTCACCTTTGGCAACCCATCCATATCCCCAGACCCTGAGGACGTGGAGGAGAGAAGTTGTTCAACTGTTCAACGTTTCAGCTAAAATCTGTGAGTGATTTGAAAAGTCACTGTGTGTAAAACCCACCTAGTGATCCGTTCATGTGGTGTGGCTCCATGGCTCCCATAGCTCCCATTGGTCCGTCAGGCCCAGGTCCCATAGGGAACTGTCAAAAAGACGTAGAACACGTGTAAATGATTGTGACCTTTGTAGCTCGGAATGAAGAGATTGTTTAGTTTTATTTTAAAGGTTCGATTCCAGTCGATTCTTACGGAGCTTTGTGGCGGAGTTATGTTACTCTAATGCTGAATCGTACTTGTTTCTGATGACGTGGTTTAAAGCGTATTTGAGCTGGATTAATTGTAAATGACATTAACATCTATTATTTTATCTGAAACTGCAGTTATGCTTGACGGATTCAACAACTGTGACTTTAACGCAACATCTTTCCCTTTCATACTCTTGCTTGAGTCGCAGTACCCTGTTGCAGTCTTCTCTTACAAGAACAAACCCACTGGAAGAAGGCAAAGACGGAGACGCAACACAACACTGTTTGGCTCCTGCCTGTTTCCTCCAGGATCACCGCTTCCAGCTTGTGTGCACTTCTTTGCCTTGACAAATCGGTCGCAGAGGTTTTCCATAGTTTTCTGGAGAATTGCTCATCTTTACCAACGGTTTCCGAAGTCTCCCTCACACGCCAGCAGGAATGACTCCATTTCTTGAACGTGCCATCGATCGCAAGGATGTGAACGGCAAGTATATACTAGGCTTAAAAAGTAAAAGCTACAGAATAACTTTCAGGAGCTTTTTGTCAAATGAACTATTAACACATGTAAGACTCACGTTGGGTCTGTTGCCTCCTGGTCCGATTGGATTCATCATTGTATAGATGTTTTCACTGGAGTTGGTTGAATCTAAAAAAATTAAATCAGAATAAAACCTTCAGTTGTTGACTTCAGAGAGATGATGCTGAATGTTGACATGAAAGATGAAAAGTGATTTGGTGGGAGACAGGGGACAACATCATGCTTGGTTAGTCAGGGGAGAAAAAAGGAGGTGATGTCTTGTTTTGTAAGACAAGTGTTAGTGCTGGGGACATAGTTAGGTGACGCACCACCTGGGCTGGGCATGATGGGAGTTCCTGGCGGACCTCCTCCTCCTGGAGGACCCTGTGAATCAATCAATGTTGGATGTCAGAATGACACTGATCAGAACATCTTCATCTGTACAATGACATCACTTTTTACTACACTGGTTTGATGGATTTTAAACTCACCACATAGTTTCCTGGAGATGAGGAGGAGTACGCTATCTGCAGGGGACAGGAAACAGAAAATCAGAACTGAGGGTCAGAGGACACGAAACCTGTGTTACATTTCTTTCCTGAAGCTTAAAAATGTAAGTTACAATTGTTTGAGAAAGTTTGTACTTTTGTCTATTGAATATCCCTTTGAATATCTTACAAGAAACAATGAGCGCAAGTACCCATCTCCAAAACCTTTTCTAATATCTGTGTAACAACACAACAAATTAAAACCTCTGGTAAAAACATGGTTGAAAAAAGCTTGAATTTGTCTGATTTACTGAACAGGATTCAGACTCACTGAGTTCGCGTTAGGTCCTGGCCAAGGCCCTCTACCCCCGGGACCCCTGAGGGAAAAGAAGACAGGAGACGGAAGACAGGAAGGGGTGGAAGAGAAATAAAAAATGAATTACTCTTTTAAAATACACTGAAAAAAGAGTTTAGTTTTAGAGTTTTAGTGTTGTAACTTACATGTTCATTCCTGGCATTGGACCGCCCATAGAGTTGGGAGGAGGTCTCATGCCTCCATAGTTCTGTAAGACAAGACATGAGAAACACGGTAAGAACATGGGAAGATGTTTTACTTTTCTTTTCTTTTCTTAACAAGATTCTTATTTCTGTGATCTTTGGTTATTTAATTGAGATTGATTCTAAATTTGATCTTATTGTGCCACATTCTGTAGTTATGTGTCCACAATAGAGTTTCTGTTTCCTTAGAGAAAACTAACTGAGCCCGACCTGAACCCAACAGGGTTTGTGTTCAAACCCGACCCAGTAGCAGTTAATATAAGCTGCATTGAGTTTGTTTCACTATCTCTAACATGTGGTGACTGCTTCTTTTCCACTATAACAGACGTGTGTAGTTTAAAAAGGGTTCAAGTTGGTTTGGGTAACCACAATATAATTCACAAGCTGCAACTAACAAAGAATCAAACTAGGACCAATTTTGAAAAGTTGGTGTGTGTCATCATACCTGTGGGCCCATGGCCATTCCTCGAGGAGGGTTCATTCTCATTGGTCCACCCATGTTAGGATGTCCTAGAGAAACAGATGAGAAAGAGTCAAACACACACACACTGCGACACACACACACACTCCTGTGCCCATGTATATACACACATGTCTCGTCTCTCAGAAACAGGAATTAAGACGAGCCACAGACAATACTCCGTCCTAATCCAATTACTTTAACCCTTGGGCTTCTGCAGTTAATATCACCACAGAGCCCTTCCTGAGCCTCACACACACACAGACACACACAGACACACACACACAGACACACACAGACACACACCAGTATTCAGTCCAGTAACAACCCAGAGTTTGTTGACTGGAGTGTACGGCTCAAGTTCATTAATGAATATTCACTGGATGTGAAATTATTTGCTATATGTTGGAATTTATCTGTCGAAAATATTATTACTACTCACATTCCTAACAGAGTCAGTTACAAACATTTTGTCTACTACACAGAACAAATATATTTCATTATATGGCGTCCTAACTCAGGCCTGTGACTACGACATCGGCCCCAGTCGTACCTTGCGGTCTTGTTGGGTCCAAACTGTTTGGCAGGAGCGGCTGAGATCCAGGGATTCCCCCAGGAGGCTGCGAAGAGACGTGGTAGAAAAATTAACATTCTGCCACAATACTGTTAACTAGGACGTTCAGCACAAACGTGAGTAAACAGAGTCACAATCCAGTTCAGTACCTGATTTGGCATTCGGAGTGAGGGGCGCGGTCCACCTGGATACCGCGGTGACATGAAAGGCTGAAAAGAGAAATGGAGGAAGGAGGGAAAAAAAGGCAGTTGAGGGAGGGGAAAAGAAAGGCAGAGAGAAAACGACATTTTCATTATTGATAAATCCATGAGCACTCGAACAGGAGGCAGCACTGAGGACAAACAAATGAACACGGTGTGGCTGGAGGATGGAGGATGACATTGAAAGATCAAATTCATCACATCAGCCTGAAAACATGAGAAAATGTACCTGAGCCAGAATCTGTTTTCTCTTGGTACACGCAAAGCAAGGATTCGTGCTGGTCAGCGTGTGTGTGTGTGTGTGTGTCGCTGTGGTGTAAGCTGATTCGGCTTGTGGTCGGCCCGGTGTAGTTAGAGACACCTCACTCTGACAACACCGTTCAAAAACCTTAGAGGAAGCATGTTCGCACTCTCTCGCACACAAGACAGAAACCAGAAACCACAAGAATGAAGCTCTGCGCTGCCAAAACACTGGCTTCGCCTCCACAGTGGCACCCGTAGCTACTCTTCTGACGCTGATGAAGTTTCCCTTTAAATGGTGAATTCCCTGAAAATGCTTTTATCAGGTGGAGTGACCCAAAACACTGACCATCCTGTATGTGTGTGTGTGTGTTAACTGTCCGTACATGTGTGTGCCCATGTGTTTTTGTATGTATATGTGACGTGTCCCCATCGCCTGTCCCCTATTTTATTTATAAGGTGCTAAAACAAGTAAGCAGAGGGGAGGGAGCTGTGTGTGATTGTGCGTGTGCATGTGTGTTAAGAGTAGAGGAGCAGAAAAGTGTGCAACCCCCTTGCCACACACACACACACACACACATTTATTCACATACACACACAAGCTGCTCTGGGGGAGGGGCACGGAGTGAATTATTCATCCTACACAGGGACAACCGATTCTGGGCCTTGAAGAGGAGCAGGCCCTGCTACCTCTGGTTGCTCCGCTTTCATAACGGAGCTGGCAACTGGAGGGGCCGACATCCACAGGGAATTAGCCAGAACAAAACTAGAGCTAACAGGGCTCCAGGGTAGGAGGAGAAGAAGAAGAAAAATAAGAAGAACGTGTGCGAGTGGTGAATGGAGAGAGAAAGAGCTTGTGTGTGGGCGACGGGGTGGTGAGTGTGTGCAGGGGGATTTGGGGGGAATGAAAGAGATAGGGGTGTTTGAGAGAAAGTGTTGGTGTCTTACCTGGCCATGGGGTCCCATCATGGGGTTGCTTGGGTTGTGTGGGGGGGGCTGTGCGTGGGGGGACTGCTGAGAGCCAGGTGGTCCCTTTAAGAAAGAAGAGCGATGTCAGAGAGGGGAGGGGCCAGGAGGGCGGATTACACCTGAAGGAATTGCCCGATCAAAAGTTATTAAAGAGAGAGGAGGACGAGGAGAAGGGGGGAGTGAGCGGGGGGGAGACAGCGGAACATTTTGGGCAAATTTGTTAATGTAATGTCCCGTAACAGGATTAAAGCCAATGGGAAACAATTAAGTCGAAGAGAGATTAAAAAAAGTCAGTAAAGCGTAAATATAATTTTGCAGGATGGCCTTGACATGTGTGTTAGGAAGAGACAATCCTCAGGACCCTCAGGTCAGAGGATTGCATGTAGTTCTTCTGTTTGAACCACATGGGGGCAGTGTTGCCAAAGGCTCCCTGCGGCAGGACAGCCACTAGTGCTAACTTCATATCAGAGAAAAGATGGTGCACATAAAAAATGCGTTAAAGTTGTATTTCCTGACAAATGTAAATCTACTTCAGTGCGACACCGTCCACAAAGAGAACAACCCCCTGCTCGTCCACACACTGCTGACATTTAACTCCAGGAAAGGGAGGTTAACGACCCCTAATAAATAACTCATTATGCCACGGCCTCTCTTCTGCTCTATCACCATCAGTGTCTTCACCCCCATCCTCAATTTTCCAGTTGTCAGAAGAAAATAAAATCTGGCCAATTTACAAAACAGCAAATGGAATTTTCCATGTATCCCTCCCGGTCGTCCGGACACGCAAACAAACACAACCCATATGGATTACCTCAGTGAGTCTGGGGGCACGTGCACCAATGTGTAGCCAGCAGAGGCATGTCTGACGGCTGTAATAGATAACACCTGCGTCGAGCCATAACAGGCGTAAAAGGCAAATAATTTAAGGGGAAAAAAAATAAAAGTCTGAATATTTGCATCTTGTTCCAAATCTGAAATCACACAAACTCATTAGCACATCTAACAATCTAAGTGGTGCTCGTATTAAAATAATTTTCTTCTAGACTTTCCAGGAATGAATCATGGAATTGAACGTCTGGTTTTCTGTATCTTGTTTACAAATTCTTTATAGAGCGGCAACTAAGGATGAACGATGGATGATTTTAAAATGTTCTATATGAGCTGAGACTCACAAACACTTGATTATAGGCAAAACATTTTACAAATTCGAGGTCCATCTATAATAAGTTATACCTCCTCAATATTTATTGAACCTTTGTTATACTGCTATTGGTGAAAAAATATAGAGATAATTATTGATGTCTTGTTCAGCCCTAGTGGCCACTAGCATCAATCATTATTTACTCATCAACTGTTTTGTTAATAAAATGTCAGAAAATAGTGAAAATCCTACAGTGATATATTTAGATAATTTTATTATTACAATAACAAAGTTTAAGGTTACTGCAGTAAGATAGGACCAGCAAAAATGCATTTTGCTTTAAAAAAAAAAAATCTTAAAACCTTTATTAATCCCCAATAGTTGCTAATTAGTCCAGACAAATCGATTACTTGTAGCACCTAGAAACCTTTCCTCAAATGGTATCTGATTGAATTCTTGCCAGTTTTAGATTATTATTCTTTAATTCTGGTTAAGATTTTGTTCAGCGTCTTGTTTGTCTGATGATTGATTAACGTTTCAGCTTCTTTTATTACATTTTACTGAAGAGTTTTGTGTATTTTTCAGAGGATCGTTAAAGGCATCGTTCAGGTTTCAGGGACTAACATCAGCTCTGACTATGAGCATGAACCACATCTGAAGAAAACAACTGGAGCTTTCTGTTACTGTAAGGTCCCTTGAAGACAACACACACACATGCACGCACAAACACACACACACGCACACAAGAACACACATACGTGTGCACAGGAGCACATGCACACACAAACACTCGTCCAATCTCACTCCCGCACCAATGTTATAAATAGCTCTTCCATGCGTCTCTCCTCACCCTCTCTCCCCCCACCCTTCCCCTTGCTTATTCACAGTGGTACTCTCACTCGTACCCCCACCACCACCTCCACCCTCTCAGCACATTGCCTCACTCTCAACAAACAATGTGAGTGGTCGGTAGCCACAGAAACAAACATTGGGCTACAATCAGTGTGAGGCACTGAACATTTCCCCTCCTCTTCCTCTCTTTCTCCTCCTTCTCCTCTCACCCCTCTTCATCTCCCTATACCCTTCCATCTCTCTATCTTGTCACTCGCTTTTTCTCTCCTACTCTACTCCACCACCTTATCGTGCCTCCTGCCAAATGCCATTGCTGTCCATCACACCGCTGCCTCACGGAGAACGTGTGTGTGTGTGTGTGTTTGTGTTAGTGAGTGTGTGCACGTTCACACGCCTGCATGTGTTTGTATAATATCTGTGTGTGTTTCTGTGTTTTCACTCTTCAGACAGCCATTACCCGCACTAAAAACCAGAGCCAGGACAGGTCAGAGACAGAGACGGGGATGGAGATGGAGGGGTGGAGAGATGAGTATGGGATGGTTGAATCATGAATCGGTTGAGCGGCAGCGAAGAGTGAGCAGAGCCACAGTGAGACGAGTTTGAGCTTTGGAGCCTGTGGTGAGTGCAAGTGTCAGGAGTGGAATAAACATTGTTTGGACAAATGTGGGGATTTAAGGAAAAACATGTGGGAGAGCTGGAGCCGAACTATAACTGTGTCATATGAAGAATTAAGTTAACATAATAGAGCTGCCAATAGAACTGTTATGTCCAATATAAATTTGTAGGCACAATTGTGAACTGTTTTATTAGGATTAACAATCATAGAACAAAGTAATGGTATCCTGTAAAAAAACAAATATCTTGGTGATTTGATTTTTTTCCAGATACATAAAAAAAAATTCAAGTTTATTTAAAATGTATTAAATAACTGTTACAGGTCAGTAATCCCTGCCTACAGTTAGAACCCATGCACTATTTGAAAGTCTTATTACTATTCAACATTGAAGGGATTTAATATGTGTGGCAAAAACTGTAAAAGATGTGGATCTACTTCTCATGTTAAGTGGACCTGAATTAACAGTAAGGCAGGAAAACCAAGAAGAAAGGAGCAGTTTTTGTCAGTGAAAGTAAAGAGGGTAACTCTAACGTTGGTGAATTGTGTGTTTTAATTGAAGAATAAAGTGGTTTTGAGTGTATAGGTAAATTCTAAATGCAAAAGTACTTTTACAACATGAGTTAATTAAAAAATAATTTGTACAGAGATACTAGACATTATTTCCGAGTGTTTGAAATGGAAATCAAAGTTTTGCCTAAAATTGAAATTGTGTTGTGAATTCAGATCGAGAAGCGACATCTAAAGCCGAGGTGAGCAGGTCAGGGATGGGGGGGGGGTTGTCTTACCTGGAAGAAGCCTGGGGGCATGGGACCGCCTGGCATGGCGTCGTTGGGGGGCATGTTGCCCATCACTGGGCTGGGCGCTGCCGCTGCGCTCTGAAACACAAAATGATGAGATTAAATCTGGTGTTTTGTGTATGTGACTGCTCTACAGAGCTATCTACATATATGATGCACTGGCCACCAAATTACTACAGGGGGCAGTGTCTGCACCTGCAATCACAGCAAATGACCCCCCCCCCATCTATACTTATATGGTTAATTCAGGAAAGAGTCTTCGATTATAACCTCTAAACTGTTCCCTCATCTCTGTGGAAAACAGAGGACGACATTCACCACATTATCTCTTTCTGTGGACGAGTGAAAAGGGAAGGATTGAAGAAGAAATACCAACTAAATATTATTCATGTTTCTCTATCCCAAAGAAGAAATCAGACTGTATCTGTCCTGAGATGTCTGCTGTCACATGCAGAGCTGAGGTCACAGCTGAGTTAGCCCAGTAATGAATGATATGATTATGATCCATGTGCATTTACACATTTTGGCTTACTTTTGATTTGTTAAACTATGTCTATATTTCCAGTGTTCTGCCCTTATGGAAACAATGTGACTGTGACTCCTCGCACTGACTCTGATGATATTAACATTTAACTAAATCACTGGTTGATGTGGGAGATATGATAAAGATTAGGAACAGCTAGGCATCCTTAACAATCAAACCTACACAAAGCATCATAGTTTTTGGTGTCATGTTTTTAACTCTATATGAGGGGATGTTTGATCAAAATCAAATATATTGAGTGCCTGGCTACTAACTTTAGTCCCAAAAAACATCTGTGCAGTATTTCATCACAATTCATTACTGATAAATATAAGACGCCATCAGCTAATGTTTTGAGTTTTATTATGTCTTAATGATTAGAAGCTGTTTTAAGAAAGTAAAGGAGAAAGTAATGTTTCAAAATAATCCTTCTGTCTGAGAAGTTTGTTTCTTCACTTTTGCTGAACCATAACTAACCAATTACTGTCTAATTCATTCAAGTAAACAAAACGTTTCATATTAAGACTTAAAAAGTACATCCTAAATCTTATGAGAAATATATTTTACCGTGAATTCATAATGTGCAACAGCACTGTTATTAGATCATAAAATATTAACTTTGCACAAAGTATATGCAAATTCTAAAATGAAGAATTATTAGATTTTGTTAAAAGGCTGGAGAGCCAAAAATGCTTAGAAGAAACAAAAACAAGTTAAACCTGATGAGAGCTGCTGCTTGACTACATCATACTGCAACAACACTACTGATTACAATCTCCTCTACGTCAGTCAAACAATATAAAAGAATAAAAGCAGAACGTAGGATGGGAGGGGGGGGTGATTCAGCCTGGGAGTTAAATATGATATAACTGTATTCTTGTCAACACACATAGACAGAGACGCATGTTCTGAGCGCTTACATAAGCAGAGTGGAACAAACACACACACATATGCACGCAAGCACAAGAACGGGCAAACATAAACACACACACACACACACACACACACACAGACACACAGACAGACAGACACACACACACAGACACACACACTAAGAGTTGCATCACAGGCTCATAAAGTGCAGGCCTTCAGTACAGAGAGGCAGACAGGGGAGAACCACAGGCTACAGGACCAGAACAGAGAGGGGGTTTAAGACCCAGGGGAGGGAGTCGGTCTCACAAACACATGCGCACACACAGACACACAATCACGCATCCACTGTTTCACCAGCGCACACACCTAACGAGCACACTACAGTTATGTGACACACACTGTATGCTTGGACAACAACGCAATCTCCCAATTACACGCATGTACACAAATATACTCGCTGCCCTTTTTCTCCTGATGAACAGACACACATGAAAAATAAAAATAAAAAATTAAAAAAAAATCACACACTTACACAATGACACACACACACACACACACACACCTCCCCCATCTTTATGCTAATTCTGCTAGTGAACATGAGCAGGCCACTGAGTCCCTGGGGAAGGAGCAGGGTCGGCTGCCTCTTTCTCTCCTTCTCCATCCTCCCTCCCTCCCATCCATCTCCCTCACCCTCTTCTTCTGCACACTTTCCTCTCCATCTTCTCTCCTCTCCGTGACCCTCCTCACTTATTTTTTCCCAGCACTGGTGCACACACACACATACACACACAAACACGCACAAACACGCACACCTTCCCTGTGCCCCAACCCCTGTACTATTCCTCCCCATCGCAACCTCTCCTCCCCTCAGCCTCCCCCCAGTAGGGTGTCAGCAGCTTGCAGAAGCTGTTGCTATGGAGACAGGTCCTATCTGCACTCTGTCCCCCTGGCATCCCCCGCTCCAGGAGTGCAGAGAGAGAGAGAGAGAGAGAGAAAGAGGGAGAGAGAGGATAAGAAGATGCAGGAGAGGGAGAAACAGAGAGAGAGAGAGAGAGAGAGAGAGAGAAGGCACAAGAGCGAGATAGAAGAGAGAGTGAGTTAGAAGATGCGAGTGAGGCAGAGGAGGGAAAAAGGCGATGGAGGAGCAAAATAACAAAAGAAGATAATGTTACAAGGAGAGAGATTCTGTTCACTATCAATCACTTGGTCACATTATTGTTCGACACTATTAATGACCAACGATATGCTCGTGAATTCTCAGTTTGCCGACTGAAACTGAATGCAAACTAAAAGCACACAGAGAGGCACAGTTGCCACCAGCAAAGCGTAAGGTAGATTTAGTATGCAGTCGCTCTTTATTAAAACCATCTGGCCTGGGGAAATACAAAAGGATCCAACAGTGCTTTTTTAGTTTCTGTAGCAGCACCCACAGTGCTGCCGATATCTACCTTTCAATTTCAACTCCGGGCTCAGAACTAGGAGACTGTCAGAAAAAACCTTTGCGACGAGGCTGCCTCCTTGAATCAGAATAACTTGATTTGCCAAGAAAGTAAGTCTGCAGGAATTTGTTTTGTTGACATTGTTGCGGGTAAACTGCGACTGCGAACGCACACATAACAAGAGAGTGCACCTTTACGCACAAAGAAACAAGTTCAATAAGACGGCACAGTCGAGAGCAGACATTAATGCTGCACTAATTAGTTGATATAATGGACATGGAGTTTTGTAGTGGAGTTGAATTATTCATTCTCGGGCTGAACGTATGGAAAAGTCTGTTAATGAAGGAGTGCACGCGCTGCGAGGGAAGCGCTGGGTGGCAGCACAACTTGAAAGGGCTTTAATGCCTGACATGCAGCAGAAAGGAGAAGAATACATTTCTTTCATTGAGGCTGGCTGAAAGTTCAACAAAACCCACGGGACACATTTTCAAATGTCTGGGAATATTTACACGGTTTAAACGGTAAACTATATTTTAATGGCCTTCCTTGGCAGCGCTGCTCAAACACGCCGTCCCAGAGCTACGTCTGCAAGAAAATAATATTAGGAAAGTTTTTATGTTACCTGGCTATCAATAATACACAATAATACGCGGTGACCTCACTGATTCTGAGTGGAGAACTCTTAACCCAAGCATTTCTTTTTCAGCCAAACGCAACAAACATGCGATAAAAATAAAATCACTGATTCGAACTGTCCCAATGTGGACAACTGCTGCTTTTCTTATACAATAAGAACAAATATACCTTTGAGATGTTGGGATAGTTGTTTTATATAGTTTTCTGACATTTCAAGTACAAAATGATTAATCGAGAATCGTAAACAGGCAGAGTCAGAGATTAAATAAATCATTAGTTTGAACATTAAAGTCCAGGATAACTAGTCGATACCTCCACCAAGGCCCAACAGTTCTATTATGAAACAACATTTAAATTCACTACATCCAGATGCACTGCACTCGGGATCATTTTCTGGAAGAGCTGTGTGTGAGTACGCAAATGTCCGAGTCAGTTGCCCCTGAGTTTTTTCTACCAGCCCCTAATTATACAGCGGAAGATTCACAGCAAGGGAGTGGGCGTGTTGATAACTTTTCTAATAGGCGATGGGTGCAAAACTATCACTAACAACTCAGGTTGAAAAAGATGTATCATATATGCAGAAGACGAAGATGTCCCCTGGGAAAGACAACGAGATCCAAGGGCCCTTGGTGATAAGGGGATGAAGCTGGTGTCTATGTGCTGTAAACAACATGTGATTTCTGGAGCAGAATTTATACGTCATGTCCCGCCTCCTGCTGCTCTTCCTAGACGTCAGCCCTCGCCTGAATGCTCCAGACATTTTCTTGTTGTTATGAACCCGTCTGACCTGGACAATCTGCTGCTGTGTTCGTCATACGTGAAAGGCAAATTCAGGAAAATGTCCGGAGTGCATGTCTGAAAATGGCTTTTGAGGTAGGGACTGATGATGGGACGAAACGACTTTGACTGTAGGTACCGATGAAGAGCGTTTTGTAGTTATATGACATTTTATAGAGCAAGTGATTGATCAAGAAAATACACAGATGAATGAATGAAATAAATCATTTGTTGGATCATTAAATTCAAGACGAGACAATGCAGTTGATGTTACAGACATGTCTTGCAGAGGCAGGCAACGCATGGCTGCAAACCATCATGTTGTGGATATTTCTACCGAGGCTACTAAATCTGATTTTGGTTTGTGGGAAGAAGCAGGTTTAGAGCTTCAGGCAAAAAAAGCAGCAGACACGCAACATAAAGCTACAACCTTTGATTCCTTAAATGTTTGCTCAGCTTCAGTCGAGACAACCCTCAAGTACCATGTAATAAACCCCATCCACCCTTCTGCGGCAACACGGCAGCGTCTTTGTGGCAAAAATATTTCAAATGCGCTGACGTTTTAATCCACGTTAGCGGCTCCCTGTGAGGAAACCCTGTTGCTCTCGCTTTTCGTCCTCGGCACAAGATTGCGTTGTTGATGAATTGCCTATCAGAGAACAAAAGACTAATGATCTGATTGGCTGGTACAGTGCAGTATGTAGATGGGCTGTACAGAAAAGCATTGATCCCTCCCTCTCCATTTCCCTCTTCTTCTTGCTCGCCCATAGGACCTGCCGTACAGATCAATAGTGCTCAACACATTATTGACCTCTGCCTGATACCTTTCA